GGATCGGCGCTGGGCCCCCCCAGCGGCGCCTCTGGCGCCGCCCCTGGCGCGCTCCGCGCGCCAGGGAGGGGGGTCCAGCGCCGATCCGAGAAATCCGCGCGGACCTCCGAGCTTTTATATTTGTGCCACTCTTTGTTCCCCTATCATCCCGCCCCTCCTCCACCTCTTGGCGAGCAGCGGTGCCAGTTGCGGCGCCGCTGCCGGGCAAAAGCACGAGGAGGCCGGAGCAGCACGTCGGCAGCTGCGGTGCCGGGAGCGGCGCGGGCGAGAGCAGGCGAGAGCAGGGGCCAGCGAGGATCCGCGGCGTCAGGGCCGCCCACGGGCGACGGAGGCACAGGGAGGGGGAGGAGGTCGGCGTGGCGGCCGCACCAACCCGAGCCTCCGTCGTCGGTGCCGCCCCAGGGGAGGCGGAGGCAGAGGGACGTGGGGAGGAGAAGGCCTGCGAGGGCGACCGCCGCCCATGGCCATGCAGGGTGAGGGGGTGTGGGGGGGCAGGGCGGCGTCACTGGATTCGAGCGCCCAGAGGTTCGAGGCTTGAGGGCTTCATGGAGCTGCAGGAAGGAGGCAGAGCAGGAGCAGGAGGAGCAGGAGCAGGAGCAGGAGGAGAAGGTGGAGGAGGAGGAGGAGGAGGAGGAGGAGGAGGGACGGAGGAGGAGGAGGGACATGACGAGGAGGAGGAGGAGGAGGAGGAGGAGGAGGAGGAGAGCACGCCTCGGGAGCCGCCGCGGGCAGCTGCGACGCCAGCCTGCCTTGGGGCAGCGACACGCGACTCCCTACCCTCTGCCGGTCGGACTCCCGAGACACCGGCCGAGCGAGGCATGGCGGGAGCGTCCGACACGAGACCGTTCGTTCTTTCGGCGATAGCCCAGGTTATCCTCCAGGGGCAGGGGCTGGCCGATCATCGAACCTTTCCGCTTTGGGCAGCCCCACGTATGCCCGCGCGCACCGGTACTGCCCCCCCCGCGTAGGACCTGGGTCAGGTTGTCCAGGGGGAGAGGCGGATGGGCGGGGCCGATGACCTGGGTCATCGACGGACCCTGCAAAAACACTCTCCGGGTGAACCTGGGCGGGAGCGTCCGGATACCTGAAGAGGCATCTCCTGAGAGGTCTTCGTAAGAACGACTACGGGCTAACAAGCCCGACCAAGGGGCGCCGCTGAGGCGGACTAGACTGGATGAAGCTCATGATTAGGCCAGATGGTGAAGCGGGACTAAGCTGGATTACAATGGTAAAGATATACCAGCGCCGATGCCGAATGTCACCTCACACGAGCTGCAGCCAAGACTGGGTCACCTAAGTATCGCGCATCGCGCCGCGCGAATCTATATTTGCACCCTCACACCCTCGGGCAGCTGCTTCTGGCCCAGGCCGCGGCGCGCGAAGCGCGATTGCCTTCGTGCCCCCGCGGGCGACCTAAGATACCCCAGCGGCGATCGGACCCACAGGGGTGCCCTGACACCCGCCAGCACACGACTCTCTCGATCCGCGGCCCCAGAGGTCCCGACCGCCTTCCCTGCAGGCAGTCGCGCGTCCCAGACGCGCTTCTGAGGCGGGGCCCCGGGGCCGAGAAGCGACCCCCGCGGGCCGAAGTCGCCGGAGCATCGTCGCAGGTCTGCATGGGGCCGGCAAGTGGCCGCAGGCGCCTGCCAGCGCGGCCAGCTGCACGCCCGCAGCGGCCCTGGCCAGGCTCGCCCCGGCCCCCCGGGGGTCGGCGAGCACGCCCTCCTGCCCCGGGCAGGAAGGCACCCGCACCGATGCACGGGCCCCGCGTGGGCAGGGCCGGGACCGGTGCAGGCGTGTAGCTGGCGCCCGTGGGGGGTTTGCGGAAGGCTCGGGAGGGCCTGGGGCCTGCCGTGCAGTTTTCCGGGCCTCCCCCGAGGACGCGCAGTATTCTCTGCAGAGGGCGCGAGGGCTTCTGAGAAGCCCTGGCGCCTCAGGAGAAGGCCTGCTCCCTTTCTTTCCCCCCCCCCTGAGCTCGCCGCCGAATGTCCGCCGCCAGGCCCAGTTCATTCCCAGTCAAGCCTGGACGCGTACCCTGACAGGAACTACGGTCGGACTTGCCTGGAGAGGACCCGCGATGGGGCACGAGACCCTTCCGAGGGCCACGTTGCCACAGCACGGCAGGAGGCATGGGTCGCAGGACACGGGACACGAGGGTGCCCTCGATTTGGCAGGGTCGACCTACGGATCCGGGCCGCCTGCGTGGAAGTTCAGATGCTGGCTCTGGGGGCCTTCCTGGAGCCACTCGCTCCGCTCGGGTGTCGATGCTGCGCCGAACGTCCACCTACTTGAGTCGAGAGCGAGGCGAACTCGAGCCAGACTTGAGTCGACCCTGAGTCGAAGGAGAGTCGAGCCAGGTCCGAACGAAAGCCAAGCAGATGCCGCTCGGTGGCCCCAGGAGAGGTACCCGAAACGGACATGAGAAACAAAACTTGGTCGCCGACTGCCTGCCAGCGTGGACAGGAGGACGAAGTCGCGCGCGCCCACCTGCTGGCAGACC